AGAAAATATTCATCGTAACGCGCGCTATCGAGTGTATAAAACCAAGATTTCGCTACTTTAGATATTCTCGTGCAAGAATTAGCAAATCCATCATTAATGAGAGTAAAAGCTAATTTTGTAATTCCTTGACAATCATTTTGTTAGAAATTAAAATATCAAATTATTAATAACTTAATAATACCATTGATTATTCTCTCTGATTCGGGTAAAATATCCCTCCGCCGTTCTTATTATCTTTAACTGTATTTTCCTTTAAATATTCATTGGCAGTTTGTTCAATTTTCATCATCTCGTTTCTGTTTAAATGACAAAATTCGATAACGTATTTTCAAAATTAATATATTTCTCAAAACACATTGAATATTTCATGGAACTGAAGAACATAGACTCGACTAAACATAAAAATGTGTAGGATAATTTGAAAAATTAATACTATTACATATATGAATGTGTATAAGGTAATACATTTATTATAATTAAAGCGTAGTAAATGAAACTTTTAAAATCATTACGAAAAATTCGTCCAAGTAAATGTGATAATTAAATAGTCACAATTTATGTTCAGGCATAAAATAATATAAAATAATTTTGATTTCTATTATCATTTTATGAAAATAAATTATGCAAATGAATAATAAAGAACAGATTTGTACACGATTCGTAATAAATTTCAAAAAAAAAAAAAAAAAAAAATTACGAAACAACCAGCCTTTCGAAATGATAATGGCATTAATAAAATTGAGTAAAGGATTTGATCGCTCAAAATCAAAAGTCTAAAATGATGTGATTTTAATAATGATGAAATATCATGCTTTTCATTTTAATTTAAACTAAAATTACATTTGTTACATTTGTTATAATACTTGGTGGCATTAACCTTTTTTTTTTACAAAAATTGCAAAATCATTTCACAATGCGAGTAAACGATAATCTCTATATGTACGAGTGGCATTTAAGTTGTATCGTAATTTTTGCTTTAAATTTTTGTTTTATCGATTGAGATCGCAAGCGACTGAGTATGAAATGTGTATTATTTGATGAAAGAAATGGGGGGAGGGGGGGAAGCGTAATATGAAAATTTTAATTAAAATTTCAGGTAATACCGATGGAAGAATTTAACCTTCATCTGACCGGTGATATTCACGCGGTGAGTGCAGCAAATAATTTATTGGCTGCACAAATAGACGCTCGATATTTCCACGAATCGAAAATGTCTTGCCAAGAGTTATACAAACGATTAGTGCCCACTGTCCGAGGTGTGCGCAAATTTTCAAAAATACAAATTAGAAGATTATCGAGGCTCGGAATCGATAAAGTTGACCCTGATACATTGACCGAGGAGGAGCAGAGTAGATTCTCAAGATTGGACATCGATCCTAAAAGAATCCTGTTCACGAGAGGTATATAAGCCCTTGAATTCTTAATCTTAATTGATAAATTGATTGACATTGAAGAGAAGCAGCAATGATTGGAACATCAGTGCGTAACGCCCTTGATTTGCAGTGGTGGACGTGAACGATCGTTACTTGCGTAAGGTGACGGTCATGCACGACGCATCGACGAAGGACGAACCACGCGAGACATCCTTCAAAATAACGGTCGGCTCGGAAATCATGGCTATCCTCGCCCTCGCCAAAAGCGTCGACGACATGAAGAACCGCCTAGCCAATATGGTTGTAGCGTTCGACAAACATGGCGAGCCGCTTTTGGCCGACGATTTCGTAAGTCACGCACTCTCGTTATCCGATTTCTTAATTAACGAATATCATGACTGCTGTGTCTTATACTCGCACACCCCCCCCCCCAATCAGCCTCTATCCGCATCAGTCTCGCAACAATAAAGCTGTAAAATCCTTCAAGTGACACCGCTCAACGTTGCCTTCCAAGTGTAACTCGATAGTTATCGTTGCGGATAACCGAGCCCCCTCCCCCCTCCCCCAACCTCCCCTTGCACCACGCAACTTGTCCGCCACTCGGCCACCACTTATGTTATATGACGTATGTCAGACGTTCGAAAGACTTTCGTTGTCTTTCGATCTGTCGGTTTGTCGAGCGAAGCTTGCTTGGACACGGTGATGTACAAGTACGACGACAAGTATCTCTCGCGCCTATTATTACTCCCCGCTAAAAGGACGATAGATTAGAGATACCGGGTGTGGCTAACGCGATTAACGATCCTCTCGCCCCAGGGTATGACGGGGG